ATGAGAAACCCGTAACACCTAAATCGTTTTGAAAAGAAAGAAAATAAGTTGACTGTTGGTCAACCGTCTAAAGAACCGAATGTAAAGTTGAATTGATTTTTATTAAAAGGATAAACATATGCACGATCTTAATTGTTGAATTATTATGTTTATTCTTGTGCTACAATGGAGTACCACTCAGCGTCAATGCTGAGCGGATAGCGTTGTTTTCCTTTTTGCTGTCCGTAGGTGATCAGACAGATAAACCTAGAGCCGATCCCAGAGGGCATTGAGGAGGAGATGTACGATGGCGTGGCTGTCTCTTTAATCTGTTGATTATGCTTTATTTAATTAACTTTAATGCTTACTACGTTTTCGGGCAAGATCCCAAGTTGTTTGACTTTAAAAAGGCTTCCGCATTATTTTAAATTACTCCGATGGATTTTTATATGTATTGATAGAACGTTTGTTTAAAATTGTTTTGAAAATGTCCCAAATTCGGATACCAATTCAGTGGCACACCGGTCCGCTGTCTCACGGGTTTGGGTCATGCGGGTTGGGGTGTTACATTTTGGTATCGGAGCATTTGGTTTTAAAATCGGTCTTTGGACCCTTTCAAAAAAAAATACAATGAATAATTCAGCCGCATCTGCATCTCACGTAACTCCTCTACCCCGGGAAGGTAGTAAGTATTTATAGCTTTATCTGTTATATGTTAAGATCTGACTTGGGAATTTCCTTATTATTTTAGAATGAGTCAAGAATCGACCCACGGTCAGTACGTTCCAGAGCCGGAGCACGTGAGCGTGCACACGGTGAACACCGAGAGTTCGAGTTTCACGCCTCCGGGTGACGGAGGGCAACCGCAGAATCAACCTGCGCCAGCGGGACAGCCACCAGCTGTACCACCGCCAGTCGTACCACCTCCAGTGATGCCACCGTTGGCGATACCGCCGGTGGCCTACGAGCAGATGTTCCCGGCCATGATGGCCCATTATATGCAGCACATGGCGCAGTTTATGCCCATGTTCCAGCCACCGCCACCACCACAGCCGCAGCCGCGCATCGTTACCTTCAAGATGTTGAAGGATAATGGAG